ATGGTACAGAGTTGTATGTAGGATGAGTAAGTCCACGGCTCTACTGTGCCAGCATGATGACTGTAGTTAATAATACTGTATTGAATATTGGAAATATTCTAAGAGAATAGGTTCAAGATGCACTCATCATAGAAAAAATGTTAACTATGTAAGGTGACATGTTAATTAGTGTAAACAGTAATCATTTCACTATTTTCATGTGTATCAAATCGTGCTGTATGTCTTAAATAATACTTTTTTTTAGTGTATGTTATAAAAAGTGAAATATGGCTAGGTGGAATTAACATCTGCCATCATTGTGTACTTACATACTACTGCCTGTACACCCATCTCCTTTATAATTGAGAGCCAGTCAAGGTGGGGTCTGCTTCACAAAGGTAATTTTTTGCAATTGCAGATCTAGGACAATTTTTATGGGCAGAAATTTTAAGTATTTTTCCCTTTTCCACTTTTTACAATTTTTCTTGTAGCTGGTCATTAATCAATCAGACATTAGTAATTCTCTGATCTCTTAAGCTTCACTCGGATGCTAAACGGGTTCTTTGCAGATGAACCAGTCAAGCGAGTGTGTGGTTTTCATATTTACAAGGGTAAATAAATATCACAACCCAAGACAGAAGCTGTTTGAGGTCCATAAGGACAGAAGAATTAGTACATAAATAAACAGTACTTCCATCTGAATTCTCAAAGAGCAAAAGAGAGGAGAGAACAGAGACCAGTACATACATTGTTTAAGCACAGATGCCTGCCTTTCAGCCACTAGTCAATTTAGGGCCTTAAACCAGAAGATGTCTAATATCCTTTAATGACTTAGGTTATAGGGAATTTTCAAAATAAAAATCTATGAGTTTAAGAATAATGGAATGTTCTACCACATTCCTCATTACATAGGACCATTAATACGTCTTTAAAAGGTGTTCTAACTCCCCAGAAGCTCAGAACCCTTCCATTATGGCTTCCTTTGGGATCTGGCTCTGCTGTACTGTGAAAGTGATGACTAACAGGCACACCCCTTAGTGCTCAGTACTAATCCGTAGTGCCAGGCCCTGTTCTGTGTGCTGTTTGTGCTAACTCATTTCTTTCAAGACTGTATAAAGTAGGTTAGCTTCTTACCCAGCAGGTGAGAGAGCCAGAATTCCAGTAATTCAAGTAAGTTTCCCTCCTTCTTGGCCTTTCATAGTAGCCATGCTGGAACAGGGTTTAAAAAGCGGGGGAGGGACACTTAAGAGCCTAGCATAACGGTAGAGGGGGAGGCCCACCTGTCGGAGGGCAGCCCTGCCTCTGAGAGCAGTCAGCTGCTCCTCCCTTCTCCCCAGTTATCTACTTCCCTGAAACGCAAACATCTCCTCCTCCCAGCAAAGGCCCGCAGACTGTGAAGCAGTTGGGAGCCTGGTGCAGCAGCCTTCACGCCCATGCCTTAGAGCTGCGGTGCTTGAACCTTGGTGCGGAAAAATAACCACCTCAGGCACTTATTAAATGCATATTCCTGTGTAAGTAGAGGGTGGAGCCCCAAATCTTACTGTTTTTAAATGGGGCTCTCCCAGTAGGTATGGTGCCAGTGATGTGCAGACTTGACGTTCCACACAGCTGCCTCTGCTGGTCCCAAGCCTTTGGGCACATGACTGGTCTCGTGATTGGAAGTAAATAATCCTGCCCACGTTTCTTACCTGTTTTTAAGAGGTGAATGACTCTGTGCTGTGTGGTTTAACCTCATTAATATTGCCAGTTTCATCAATGGCCTTATCTTCAGGTCTTGAAATTGGCATCAATACTTCACTTGCCATTTATCCTTTAAAATGAGAAGATGTTATCATTAGTCAAGGTTAAGGGAATGGGTGGTCATGTACAAACGCCTACAAAGAAAAAGCCACCAAAATCATACAAATGAATGTAGTATTTTGATGCATTCTGTGCAGCACCCCAACAGTAAAGCTAGGAAACCAGAACCTGAACGACTGAAGTGTCTTTGCCCAAGAACATACAGAGAGAAGAGCCCAGAGTGGAGGCTTCTCCCACCACTGCACCTGGGAGCCCCCACCCCCCTGGTCTGACTCCCACATGGTCGGTGATCACAGGTGCTGGGAGGCAGCATGCACCCCTCCAAAAGCAGGCTGGACCCCAGTGAACGTGCCCCACGGTCCTGAGCACAGACCACTTGAGAGTTGTCCTTGAAAAT